GTAAAAGACAACAACTTAACTACAAAGGTTGACCAAAAAAAGTTGTCATTTTCTTTTTCAACTTAACTGTAGTAACCATGGGAAAAAATATCTTCCCCTTTTTACTTATAAAAACTTTTCAGTTTTATCAAACTAGGCCAAGACGTAAAATAGTTAAATTGTTTTTAGATTTAATATTCTATGTACATTTCATATAGTTTCAGTAGGACAGGCAAGCCTGGATATAAGTTTTAATGTGAATATTCTACTGGAAACGCCTTGTAATATGCTACAAAATTTCTCGGCTATAGTTCTCTCATACACAGCCTTGAATATGTGTTTGTTTGCTGAATTGCTGTTGTTGTTGTATACTTTAAAAGGATTTAGTTTGAACGTGAGTTTATGTCTATTTTATTGAAATGTCAATTCAATTCTATTCACTACAACAATCTAAGTTCTTCATTTCCGTTTTATTTCCCTACATATCTGTGTGAAAGAGAGGGAAAGAGTGAGTGTGTTGTTTTAGTAATGAATATATGCATACATATACATATAGGTATCCTGCAGATCGTGGTAGTTTTCTTCACTCTTTTCCTGGTTACAAAATTATATTAGAGGAATTCAATTGGCGTTTCATAACTATCTCCTAGACAATAAAGTGAGATAGATTTAATTTTGATCTCGAAATGCAGGGTATTTACATATGTACATATGTATCTTCAAGTGCTTAATATCTCTGGGTCTGTTTGTGTTTTCTGCAGAAATTAAAAAATAAACTGTTAGGCTTCAATATTAGAATAGTTCTAATCAATTGTTTATTTAAAATAAAATTTATGTATGTTAGGATTTTTTGCAAATGTAAATATTTAACAGATTAAAAGCTTTATTTTTGTTTTAGGACTTATGGAAATATGTATTTTATACTCGCATACACAAAATAAATGTTGAAATCCATAAATTTTATTTTTTAAGGGATAAAATCTATAAATTTATTCTGTGTTGAGTTAAAATGATTGAATATTTATGGACTGGTTGTGATAACATCTGTTTGTGGATGAAATAAATGTGTGTTTTTGTTTGTTTTAAGACAATTTTTAAATGATTTGGCTGAGCCCAAAAATAAAAGAAAACAATGTATTCAGCTTAAATCTGAATACTATTCTGGAAACATGCCCAAATTCAACTATCGTTTTTAAATTCAAATATAATATCCTCACATCCTACACTATTGACTTTAGTATGATAAAATAAAGCAGAACTAACCAATGAACCAATGAACCAACCAACTAACGAACTAACTAACTAACTAACTAACTAAACTAACTAACTAACTAACTAACTAACTAACTAACTAACTAACTACTAACTAACTAACTACTAACTAACTAACTAACTACTAACTAACTAACTACTAACTAACTACTACTAACTAACTAACTAACTAACTAACTAACTAACTAACTAACTAACTACTAACTAACTACTAACTAACTAACTAACTAACTAACTACTAACTAACTAACTCCTAACTAACTAACTAACTAACTAACTAACTAACTAACTACTAACTAACAACTAACTAACTAACTACTAACTAACTAACTAACTAACTAACTAACTAACTACTACTAACTAACTACTAACTAACTAACTAACTACTAACTAACTACTAACTAACTAACTAACTAACTAACTAACTAACTAACTAACTAACTAACTAAACTAACTAACTAACTAACTAACTACTAACTACTAACTAACTAACTAACTAACTAACTACTAACTACTAACTAACTAACTACTAACTAACTAACTAACTACTAACTAACTAACTAACTAACTTAACTAACTAACTAACTACTAACTAACTAACTAACTAACTAACTAACTAACTACTAAACTAACTACTAACTAACTACTAACTAACTAACTAACTACTAACTAACTAACTAAACTAACTAACTAACTAACTAACTAACTAACTAACTACTAACTACTAACTAACTAACTAACTAACTCACTAACACTAACTACTAACTAACTAACTACTAACTAACTAACTAACTAACTAACTAACTAACTAACCTAACTAACTAACTACTAACTAACTAACTACTAACTAACTAACTAACTAACTCTAACTAACTAATAACTACTAACTAACTAACTAACTAACGAACTACTAACTAACTAACTACTAACTAACTACTAACTAACTAACTAACCTAACTAACTAACTACTAACTAACTAACTAACTAACTAACTAACTAACTAACTACTACTAACTAACTACTAACTAACTAACTAACTAACTAACTAACTAACTAACTAACTAACTAACTAACTAACTAACTAACTAACTAACTAACTAACTAACTAACTACTAACTACTAACTAACTAACTAACTACTAACTAACTAACTAACTAACTAACTAACTAACTAACTAACTAACTAACTAACTAACTAACTAACTAACTAACTAACTAACTAACTAACTACTAACTAACTAACTACTAACTAACTAACTAACTAACTAACTAACTAACTAACTAACTAACTAACTAACTAACTAACTAACTAACTAACTAACTAACTAACTAACTACTAACTAACTAACTAACTAACTAACTAACTAACTAACTAACTAACTAACTAACTAACTAACTACTAACTAACTAACTAACTAACTAACTAACTAACTACTAACTAACTAACTAACTAACTAACTAACTAACTAACTAACTAACTAACTAACTACTAACTAACTAACTAACTAACTAACTACTAACTAACTAACTACTAACTACTAACTAACTAACTAACTACTACTAACAACTAACTACTAACTAACAAACTAACTAACTACTAACTAACTAACTAACTAACTAACTAACTAACTAACTAACTAACTAACTAACTAACTAACTAACTAACTACTAACTAACTAACTAACTAACTACTAACGAACTAACTAACTAACTAACTAACTAACTAACTAACTAACTAACTAACTAACTAACTAACTAACTAACTAACGAACTAACTAACTAACTAACTAACTAACTAACTACTAACTAACTAACTAACTAACTAATTAACTAATTAACTGACTAACTAACTAACTAACTAACTAACTAACTACTAACTAACTAACTAACTAACTAACTAACTAACTAACTAACTAACTAACTAACTAACGAACTAACTAACTAACTAACTAACTAACTACTAACTAACTAACTACTAACTAACTAAACTAACTAACTAACTAACTAACTAACTAACTAACTAACTAACTAACTAACTAACCAGTAAAAACTTTCATTACCATGTAAGGGGTTGAAATGCTAAAATTTGCTTACACAATAGCATTTTAAGTAATTATTTTAACACGGTGATGTCATTGGAGGCATGTAGTTACCACAAACGATTACAAGTAATTAGAGAAAGTATTAATTGTAAATCGCAAGATGATTTATGAATTAGAAAGTATTTATATAACATATTATTAGTGAGGACTTATAATACTAGTTCTATGTAATCCAAACGATAGGAAGTCATTAAATGGTTTTCTAAAGAATTTGGCAAACTTTTCAGAAAGTTCTTGACGATCGTGTTGAAAAATTGTGTCTAATCTTCTATCCATTACAACTAGAGCCCCCTTCACACAAGCACACAAGTAATATGATCTGTCAAAATTTTGTGTAGAAGAGAACGGATGGGATTTTCTAAACGCAATATGTAACAAAATCTTCACACATTGAGAGAGAATACGGATGGAAAATTTAACAGTCGTAGGGCTCTCTTCATTTTTTGAAATGATTCAAAAAACAAGCAAGTCCCATTAGATCAAGGATGTATTTTTATGTAAACATATACAAAAAAAGTGAAACAGCTGTTTCATCTTACTTTGTTATTGTTTTATACCAATCGAGTAAACACAAAAAATATCAATCATATGACTTTTATTCTCTTTTTTGTCATACGGATGGAATTTCATTTTACTTTTTCATTAGACTTGACGTACGTAAAGTGTGATCGTCTGAAGGGCCCTTAACACGAACGCATTTGATTTTTGAAATTACAGATTAATTTATATAAATAATAAATTTGACATAATTTCCATTGGAACTGACATTTCTACATGTGTTCCTTAATTAAAAAGTATCAAAATGAATAAATTATATTTCATAAATAAAAACCTTCCACTGGATACCTGTAGCAATTTAGTAAATTAAATTGTATTCATAACACACTTCATAGCTACTACTCACTCAAATAAACAAAAAATTCCTGATAATGAGAGGAAACGAAAAAAAAAAAAACAATTTACTAAATTTAATTAAATTCTCTCACTAAGCAGTCATGCCAAAATAGAATTATAAAACAATTGTCTAAATATTTATTTATTTGTATACACCCATTTGTTGTATGAAAATCTACAACGAATTTCTGTTGGGAAATATAGACAAGAGGGAACCACCCAACCATTACGTTTTCAACATTTAGCTATTTTACTCCAAATTTTTTTTGTTATTGTTATTCCATTCAATACGATTTGTTATTTAAACCCAAAACTGAAAGCCAGTAACAAAAACAAAAAAAAAATCACTTAAATACAAAATTATTTATTAGATACAATAAATATTTAACGCTTTTATAAGTACGTGCAATGTAAGTTAATTTCAGCAATAAATACGCATTTTATTTTGTTATTGTTGTCATCCCCTTGACTCATACTCTCGCTCCTTTTTACTCTTCTATCTATTGTTGTTTTATGGTATTTGGTCGAAATATTTGGTGAATACTCTCAATTGTGATAACATAATTTTATAGTCCTTGTATTTTTTTTGGAAGAGCCTGGGGTGGTTATAAAAATTTAAGTTATTTACAGTTATTTTTGTTTGGTTTTTTTATATCGATTGTTTTATTTAGTACTTATTTAGTAAGTTTTAAGTATTTATTTAGTTAATTATATAAATTAATTTTATTCTCTTGTGTATTTTTTCTCTTTCCAGACAACTTTTATCACCGAATTTAATACAGAAACATTATCATTCTAGTGGCTATTTAGTAGATGGCAATCGTCATGTAAGTATTTTAAAGGCATTTTTTTTAAATATTTCTTTATGTTAAGCGTTTAGAGGGAAATTTAAATAAAAAAGCAATAAGTTGGTAGCGGCTGGAACTGTTGTGGTTATTAGATTGTTTTTGTTAGTAAGGAGGTATTTGAAGGATGGAGTCTTATTATGAACTTGGTTTTTTAAATGACTGTTAGAGGGGTTGAATAATTGATTTGGAAATTCATATATTCTGCAAAAAAATTTACTTTGGTAATAAATGATCATAATTTCTGGACAATAGGCAAGCCAATCGATTAGAAAATAGACAAGTCAATACACTAATCAATAGATTATTCACTAAACTAGGTCCAACTTACTAGTCAAAAGGCAAGTCAATAGACAGCATATTAGTCAGTGAACTAGTCAATGAATTATAATAGACCAGGCTTGTAATGATTATATTTCCAATTACAATTTTATTTTAAGTTATTGTAATTGAATTACTTGTAATTGCAATTGAAGTTTTTCCAATAACAATTACTTGTAATTGTAATTCAATAATTTCCAATTAAAATTTCTTATAAATGTGATTTTTCCCTTGTAATTACATGCAATTTGTAATTACAAATACCTAAAGTAATTGTAATTGGTAATTATAATTACTTTATTACATTTAATTTAATTACAATTACTTTATTACATGTAATGCATTACAGTTTCATGTAAATGTAATTGGTTATTCGTCAATTATACATTACAAGTAATAGTAATTGGAAAAACTTCAATTACAATTACAAGTATCAAGTATTATCCCCTAAACCTGCAATAGACTAATCAATATTGTATTCAGTAGTGTGTAATTGACGAATAACAAATTACATTTACATGTAATTGTAATTACATTACATGTAATAAAGTAATTGTAATTACCAATTACAATTACTTTAGGTATTTGTAATTACAAATTTCATGTAATTATAAAGGAAAAAAATCCCAATTACAAGCAATTTTAATTGGAAATTATTGAATTACAATTACAATTGTAATAGGAAAAACTTTAATTGCCATTACAAGTAATTCAATTACAATAACTTAAAATTTAATTGTAATTGAATATATAATCATTACAAGCCTGGTCTATTATAATTTATTGCCTAGTTCACTGACTTGTGTATTGAGTAATATATCGACTATCGATTTGCCTATTGACTAGTAAGTTGGACCTAGTCTTAAGGTCCAAAAGGAATTTTATATTAAAAAGTACCTTTTTGAAACTCATTTTGTAAAAAAAGGAATACTACAAAACATAAATTGTCCATGCCAAGTGCATGATATTTAAAAAAATCTCCAAATATGATACCTAGGCATGGGTATGTATATAAAGACACCTTAAGTCCAATATCTTCAAATACAACTTTTAATTATACCCTACACCACTATAGTGGGGAGGGTATTATACGTTTGTGCTGATGTTTGTAACACACAAAAATTTTGGTCCTACACCCACCTTAAAGTATACCGATCGATTCAGAATCACTTTTTGAGTCGATTAAGACATGTCCGTCCGTCCGTCCGGCTGGCTGTCCATGTAAACCTTGTGCGCAAGGTACAGGCCGCAATTTTCAAGATAATTTGATGAAATTTGGACCAAGCATGTTTTTTTGGCACAGGGACGAAGCCTATTGGTTGAAATCGGGCCATTATTTCACCTAGCCCCCGTACATCCCGATTTGGGCTTTTTAATAATTACGTCAAATATACTATTATCTCGTTAAAAATAAGTTTTATATAAGTATAAATGACACTGCAAATTTTTGTAATGATCGGCCCTTATTTGACCCTAGCCCCCATACAAACCCCCCTTCAAAAAATGTCTTAAACGTCTAAAATTGACTTGTAACCATTTGTATCGCAATGATACTCAACATAACTAACTCTTATTTAAAAATATATCCTTTTCCCAAATTTAATGAGGATCGACCCATGTTTGACCTATACTGCTATACAAAGCCTCATTTAGAAAATTTGTTTTTTATCAATAAATTGATTAAATACTAAGGTAAAATTCAACATAAAAGTTTATTTATGAAAAATACAAACTTTTAAAATATACTCATGTTGTAGGGTATTATATGATCGACTATAATTTCCTAATTTTTTTTTTTTTTTTTTTTTTGCTAGTGACTGACAGCTCTCCCCCGAGTCAACTGTTCTTAAAATGTAACAAATTTAATTGAATGAAATGAGAACAAGGGGAACATACGTATAAATAACCTAAATTAATTAAAAAACGAAAATCATAAAGCAAAAGTTCAAATGTTCTATTTTATTTTAAAAATTATGTCATGTACTAAGCTCAAACAACAATAAACAATAATAAAATAAAAATTATTAAAGTAAATCACGTCTTAGATCAAATTTTTATTTATTTATTTATGTTTTCCGAAAAAAATGACTTTCAAATACAAGTAATAAACGGAATTGTGTTTAAAATGTTAGCACGTCTGTTGAATTTTATTTTACTTTTCTTCTTTTTTTTATTTATTAGTTTAAGACGAGACACTTTTACATCTATGAATAACGACTTTTTGTTTGTGGATTTTTTTTCTTGACTTGAAGCCAAAAAAAAAAAACTTTTCACCAGAGTAAATTGCAAAATTGTTATAAAATTTAGCAGGGAATCGAAAAGAATGTAAGACAACAAAAAAAAGTAAACAAAAAAACAGGGGGAAAGATTTACAAAATTGTTCTCTAAACTGTACGTGTTTACATTATTACATTAAAATTAACACAGAGTTCAAGACTTTATTCAGCATTTTTTCCAATTTGCAACTGTTAAGAAGGGCAAGAAGAACTTTTTAAACAAATCTACAATTTAAATATACATATAAACATACACATATACTTTATCCCTCGTATTCACAAATATATAAATCGTTTATTTTTGGTTTATTAAGCACATTACCTACACAAGAATCCTATAATAAACCATCCAACAACTTTATTAAGCATTTTTGAATACGGGTCTAAAAGTTTATTTTAGCATTATACAAATTTGACAGTTTTGAGTCTGTGTGCATAAATTTTCACAAAATTTTTGAAATGTGTTTAAAGGCTACAATTTAACATTAAAAAAACACACTTTTTATATGTCTGCCATTGGTTTTCTTTTTAATTTTATTTTCACATGATTAACAAACGAGTAAAGTTTTTTTTTTTCGTTTTCTATAACAAATTGTATGATTAACACTGACATTTTTTAACTGCACGTGTAGATCTAGGATTATTTGGAAATAAGTATTGCAAAGAAATACATACATAAATAAAAACTTCAATTGATAAATTTTCGTTTGCATTTGTATCATTGTTTGGATGTGCGTGTGTGTCAAAGCCCTCTTCATGTGGCATTAAGCCAATAGACATTTGATAGACGGACAGATAGATATGTATTTTCGTGTATGTACGAAATATCTTACAAAATAAATAAAAAAATTATTCACATGTGAATAATGATAAGTAAGTCTGCGACTGTGTTCCTTTTCTTCCTTTATTGTATTTTAAGTCACCCTTTAGGAATATTCTTATAATTCATTTAGTTGTTTTCCGCTTTTTAGGTACTTTATTTAGGGCTCCTTTCGCAGACAGACGAATGTTCTGTTTTAAAATAGTTCTCTTCTTTTAGTTAAATCAGTTCTAGTTCAGTTCTAGTTCAGTTCTAGTTCAGTTCTAGTTCAGTTCTAGTTCAGCTCTAGTTCAGTTCTAGTTCAGTTCTAGTTCAGTTCTAGTTCAGTTCTAGTTCAGTTCTAGTTCAGTTCTAGTTCAGTTCTAGTCAGTTCTAGTTCAGTTCTAGTTCAGTTCTGTCAGTTCAGTTCAGTTCTAGTTCAGTTCTAGTTCAGTTCTAGTTCAGTTCTAGTTCAGTTCTAGTTCAGTCTAGTTCAGTTCTAGTTCAGTTCTAGTTCAGTTCTAGTTCAGTTCTAGTTCAGTTCTAGTTCAGTTCTAGTTCCGTTCTAGTTCAGTTCTAGTTCAGTTCTAGTTCAGTTCTAGTTCAGTTCTAGTTCAGTTCATAGTTCAGTTCTAGTTCAGTTCTAGTCAGTTTCTTAGTCAGTTCTAGTTCAGTTCTAGTTCAGTTCTAGTTCAGTTCTAGTTCAGTTCTAGTTCAGTTCTAGTTCAGTTCTAGTTCAGTTCTAGTTCAGTTCTAGTTCAGTTCTAGTTCGTTCTAGTTCAGTTCTAGTTCAGTTCTAGTTCAGTTCTAGTTCAGTTCTCAGTTCTAGTTCCGTTTAGTTCAGTTCTAGTTCAGTTCTAGTTCAGTTCTAGTTCAGTTCTAGTCAGTTCTAGTTTCAGTTCTAGTTCAGTTCTAGTTCCAGTTCTAGTTCAGTTCTAGTTCAGTTCTAGTTCAGTTCTAGTTCAGTTCTAGTTCAGTCTAGTTCATTTCTAGTTCAGTTCTAGTTCAGTTCTAGTTCAGTTCTAGTTCAGTTCTGTTCAGTTCTAGTTCAGTTTAGTCAGTTCTAGTTCAGTCTAGTTCAGTTCTAGTTCAGTTCTAGTAGTTCTAGTTCAGTTCTAGTTCAGTTCTAGTTCAGTTCTAGTTCAGTTCTAGTTCAGTTCTAGTTCAGTTCTAGTTCAGTTCTAGTTCAGTTCTAGTTCAGTTCTAGTTCAGTTCTAGTTCAGTTCTAGTTCAGTTCTAGTCAGTTTAGTTCAGTTCTAGTTCAGTTCTAGTTCAGTTCTAGTTCAGTTCTAGTTCAGTTCTAGTCTCAGTTCTAGTTCAGTTCTAGTTCAGTTCTAGTTAGTTCTAGTTCAGTTCTAGTTCAGTTCTAGTTCAGTTCTAGTTCGTTCTAGTTCAGTTCTAGTTCAGTTCTAGTTCAGTTCTAGTTCAGTTCTAGTTCAGTTTGTCAGTTCTAGAGTTCTAGTTCAGTTCTAGTTCAGTTCTAGTTCAGTTTCTAGTTCAGTTCTAGTTCAGTTCTAGTTTCAGTTCTAGTTCAGTTCTAGTTCAGTTCTAGTTCAGTTCTAGTTCAGTTCTAGTTCAGTTCTAGTTCAGTTCTAGTTCAGTTCTAGTTCAGTTCTAGTTCAGTTCTAGTTCAGTTCTAGTTCGTTCAGTTCAGTTCTAGTTCAGTTCTAGTTCAGTTCTAGTTCAGTTCTAGTTCAGTTCTAGTTCAGTTTCTAGTTCAGTTCTAGTTCAGTCTAGTTCGTTAGTTCAGTTCTAGTTCAGTTCTAGTTCAGTTCTAGTTCAGTTCTAGTTCAGTTCTAGTTCAGTTCTAGTTCAGTTCTAGTTCAGTTCTAGTTCAGTTCTAGTTCAGTTCTAGTTCAAGTTCTAGTTCAGTTCTAGTGTCAGTTCTATGTTCAGTTCTAGTTCAGTTCTAGTTCAGTTCTAGTTCAGTCTAGTCAGTTCTAGTTCAGTTCTAGGTTCAGTTCTAGTTCAGTTCTAGTTCAGTTCTAGTTCAGTTCTAGTTCAGTTAGTTCAGTTCTAGTTCAGTTCTAGTTCAGTTCTAGTTCAGTTCTAGTTCAGTTCTAGTTCAGTTCTAGTTCAGTTTAGTTCAGTTCTAGTTCAGTTCTAGTTCAGTTCTAGTTCAGTTCTAGTTCAGTTCTAGTTCAGTTCTAGTTCAGTTTAGTTCAGTTCTAGTTCAGTTCTAGTTCAGTTTCTAGTTCAGTTCTAGTTCAGTTTCTAGTTCAGTTCTAGTTCAGTTCTAGTTCAGTTCTAGTCCGGTTCTAGTTCAGTTCTGTTCAGTCTAGTTCAGTTCTGGTTCACTTCTAGGTTCAGTTCTAGTTCACTTCTTGTGCAGTTTCTAGTTCAATTCTTTCTGGAATATCTGAGTCGTATCATATTATAAAATCTATTAAATCCTCCCAATTACATCCCATTATAGGAATGACTATAAAAACCTTCTAAACTTAACCGGAAAAACAATTTCAAATTTATTATTTATAGCCTTTAATGTTAAATAATAAAAAAACAGAACTCTTATAATATAACCTATAAATTTTCGATTCATTTTTTTCATACAAATTTTAGCTAATATATCAATATTAATAATGTTATTTAACAAATATTTATGTTTTACAATTTCAGGATATTGAACATTGTTATTATCATGGTACTGTTAAAGATTATCCAGGTGCTAGTGCGGCATTTCATACGTGCAACGGTGTTAGTGGGGTCATACACATAGGAAATGAAACATTTGTGATACATCCCTTTTATGGCGGTGATCTATCGGTAAGTTATTGAAGATAATTTGCAAATATACTACGAATAAAAGACTACAAAAAAATTTATGATTTATATATATATTGTATAGTAAGCACATTACAAAAATATATGTCTAAGAAAAAACTACATTGTTTTAAATATTATTACAAAATTAAGATTTATTGAGTGTGCAACAAAATTCACATTTCAACACTTTAAAACATACACACTCATATTTGAAGGAAAAAAATTACTGGAAAAACTTTGAACAATAAGCTGACTTAAAATTGTCCTTAACTTTTGTTAAGGCTCGTTTATAAAGTTTTTTTCTATTATTTTGTTCTTGTTTTTTTTTTTTTTTTTTTTTTTTTTTGCTCTTAGAAAATTTCATACAATAAAATACACACATAAGAAGTTAATACTTACTTATAGTTTTTTTCAATATAATATTCAGGGTATGAGAACAGTTAAGTATAGATTTTTTGGTGAAAACGGATCTTTAGCATTAATGGGAGTCTTTAAAAAAATTAAATTTGGAAAGCTTTCAAAACAATTCCCTTAAAAATTGTTATAGTCAGACTATGTATAATCATTGTTTATATAGTTGTAAATCATGTAGGGTTTCGTTTCTAGCCCAAGTGGTCCTCGTTTTTAAATTAAAAAGATATGATTATAAAATGTTTGTAAAAAGAAACCACACAAACCATTAAATCATTAAAATACTTTAAATTTAGATTTCACCAACTTCATTGCTCCTAGTCCTTTTACATTTACAAAAACACTAAGCTAAACCTGCTGAAAAATGAAATACAATATAATATTTCGATTATTTCCACTGAACGCGACACCAATAAATAAATCCTAGAAGAAAACAAAAAAAAAACAAATCCTTGAAAATCTTCTAAAAAAAAAAACTTTCAAATACCAAATCGTTATAAAAACACATACCTACACACAGTCTTTCCTTCACTAACTAGAAAACAAATATGAAAAAATCATGGCTAAATGTTACTCCGCTGCTACCAAACCATAAATGTGAAAACTTATGATTTGAATTATTTTTTTATTTTCAATTGTTGTTGGTACAATTCTAGTTCTATTCCTATAGATTTCAGTCGTATTTTTTTATTTCTATTTTTTATTATTACACACATAAACGTTTTCACCATTTATTTGAATTTTTATATTTTGTAACTGTAGAATCAAATTTAACACTTCAAGCCAGGCAAATACATATACAACCATTTTTTTCTCGATTTTTTTTATTGAAATCTCAATCGCAAAAAACAGCAGCGACAACAAACGAAAATTAGATTTATGGCTGTTAACGTTTATATTGATTTTCATTGCTACCATCAACCACGAATTTGCTCCATTTCTATAAATGTGTTTTTTTTTTTCTTTCTTTCAACCGTCTTGTTTTTTAGTTGTTCAAATACAATTCGATGAAAAAATAGAAAAAGTAAAATTCAAATGGAATATAAAATATTAATATTTTACCAGCAAGGCGTGTGAGACCAGAAAAAGATTGTATTTGTATGAACGTAGGAACGATTTGTTAAGAGGGGCGAAAAGTAAAGACAAAAAAAAATAAAATAAAAAAACCTGCTGACTACAGACTTGTTTTATACTTTAGAAAATATGAAAAATTTAAATTTAAACATTGATGAATGAAACAAATGTCTGGTTAAGTTAGTTGTATAAAAATAATAGAAAATTATTTTACATCATCAGTAATAATTTAAGGTTATATAGCTAAAGGATACAGTATTAGGGGGGAAGCAAAGGAAATGTTAATAAAATTTTATATCTTCATTCATATAAAGATGTAAATATTTTCACTTAAATATCTCAGTACTACATATTTTTAGTCTGTAAGTAGTTCTTTGAGATAGGAATAGGTCTTTGTACAAACTTTTGATACGAAGAGGATATGAAAGATGCTTTTTAAGGTATTATATAATAGGTTATGGGACATGCAATATTTTGATACCAAAAGATTGTTTATAATAGTTCTGTGTTTAATAAGAAGAAGAAAAGTATAACTCCGGAAAACATTTTAATATAAATGTAGGTTCGATCTTTATAAGCCCTTCAATAATTCAGTTAAACGCTTAATATTTTCCCTACGAAATTCAAATCATTCCTGCAAAAACTTGTACCTACACAACAACTTACTTTTCAATAACTACTACACAGAGGACAAAGGAAATATACACGCCTGGTACCAAATTGACACCAAAGAGTTTATAATTTTTCAATAACATCCGATGATCACTATGTAATGTTGTCAACATTGCAACAATTCGTTGTCTAAATCTAAATTTTATACACATCCGTTGTCTAAATGTTAACAAACGTGGTAAGCTCACTATTGACAAACAATCCGTTGCGTGGTTTTTTTCCATTTAATTTGCATATTTTATTTAATCAGGTGCTATTAACTGCTTTTTACTGATACAGAAAGCAACAAGTAAGAATGTATAGCAGGGCATGGCCGGCCATATGATACTCTATACCAGTGAATATGTTAGAAATGTGGATTATTTTTTAATAAAGCAGCAGCTGTAGGGGGACAAGGCGAAACAATGGACAGATTTTAACCATTTTCAATAGGATTGGGTCAAAATAAGAGTATGTGCCAAATTTCATCAAATTAACTTAAAAATTGCGACTTGTAGCACGCGCACAAGGTTTACAATGCACACAGACAGACGGATAGACAGAAAGAAAGACAGACGTATAGACAGACAGACAGACAGACAGACGGACCGATTGGTATACTTAAAGGTGGATGTAGAACCAATATTTTTCGCTTTTACAAACATCAGCACAAACTGGTATAAATTGTCTTTTTAGGTCCTTTATATATGTCTAAGTTATTTTTTGGCAACATATGAATGAACATTTGTCCAAATTTATCTTTTCAGTTTTATAAACAAAAATTTTAATTCAGTAACATTTGTGAAATTTACTGATATTATACATAAGCCTTAAAATATCTAGGGGCTTTCAAAATTTTATTTTTACCATCATATGGATGGCGGACAACACAAATAGTGTACGTTATTGAAAAAAATCACTTTACACAGTCCCAAAAGGAAGTTTACCTCTACTTTCTTATTGTTCTTAAGGGTTGCTAACCTTTTTTTTCTACATTAGTTAAAAATGTATTTCCTAATTAACTTACTGCATTAAAGTACCTTTTAAATTAATTTTATACAAAAAGCTAATATTTACTATCTAACAAATGCTCCAGCAACCTAAACAAAGCAAAATGTTATACTAACTTATTAAACCGCAATTTGTCTATTACTTTTTCCTGTGTACTAATTATTAAGGCCAATACTGTATCAACATATTATGTATGTAGTATAAACATTGATTTAAAAAAAAAAAAAAAAAACATATTCAAACTCAGTCAACGGTACCAACGCCATAGCCACCATCAAATCAACATCATCGTCATCATCATAATATTAAATTTTTCTTTTCTTTTGTATTGTTTGTTTAACACTTTATGTCTTCGTTTTCAGTTTTCTTTATGAACATATAGTTTATAAATAGAATTTTCTTTTTTTTTCTTAAACAAAAAATGTCTTTGCCGCCATCATTTCATATTTTGATATCAATTTTGTAAGATGAAAAACAAAATGGAAAATAATATTGGCAAATACATATGTAAAGAAAGGAATGTATGAATGAATGAATCTAGAGTACAACGTAAAGTTATGATACCCATGAGTTTATTTTTTACTAACAGCCAAAACCCTTACACTGATCTTAAGAACATTTATGCTTGTAGTACTTACATATACATACATATTTATGTACATATGTATATGATGTTTTTGTTTTACATTACAACCTTTTGTATTTCTGGTTTCCTTCTTTATGTGATTGTTTTGTTTGTTATATTTTTGGTAATATCTTTTGGTTATTTGTTTATTATTGTTTTTTTTTTGTGTTATTCTTCTTTTTTTTTTTGAAAATAAATACCTTGAAAATCGTTGCCATTACCTACCAATACCTTATGGAATTTTCTTCATTCATTTCCCACAAACAAAACTCACATTATTGTTATTTTATGGTTTTATTTATAAAAGTCGGTGATAAATTTTCAAGAGTATGTGCATATATACATATTTAAATTAAAGGTCCCATGGGCAAATAATTTCAAACTTCTGGCCTTCTCCTGCCTCGGGAAAAAGGTACTAAATAATTTTTAAATTTCATGATAAATAAACTATTTTCCCTATTACTGATGTTTGTAACACCCAAAAATATTGGTCCTACACCCGCGCTTAAAGTATATTAAATTGCTCAGAGTCGATTAAGCTATGTCCGTCTGTCAAAAACGAGTTTTTATCGAAACATTGAGTATTTTATTTCGGAGTTTCTAGTAAAAAAGTATTAAGTATTATTATTAAGTATTTAATAATAGTTAAAGTAAATATGTTGTACCATCTAAAAAGATGAAGATTAAATTAATTTCGTCATTCCGTTTGTAACACATAGAAATATTGGTCATAGACCCACAAAAGCATATACGGGAGGCGCTAAACAGTTGCAATTTTGCATAAATATTCTCTATTAATGAAAATGAACAATATCGGTGCATGACTTGGCCTAGGCCCCAAACACGCGGCACTCGAAATATAGTTTAAGCTTTAAAGAGCCAAAAATTTGTTATTTATACAGCAATCATTTATAAAATTTTACTCAATTTAGTTTTATGCAATCAAAAATTATATTGTAATGTATGGTGGACATCAGATCATAATTTACCCTACGTTACATATAAGGTCGCCTTCAGAAAATCACTTCAATACTCATACCAGGCTTCATAATATAAGTAATAGATTGATGAAAAACTAAATTTCCTAAAGGGGCTATATATGGGGGCTGGGCAAAATATGGACCGCAGGGTCATCAATGCCAGTATAAAACTTAGCTGTGCCACTTTTTGTCGAGATACGAGTATTTTAATCATAATTATTAGTTCCAAAGCCCTATTCGGGGGTTTA